CCTTTTTTTTTTCTTTTTTTTTTTTTTTCTTGCATCGTGGGGATCTGCTTATAGAAAGCAGCTTCCAGTAATTCTTCTATAAGTGGAGCCATGTCCCTGCCCTGCTCCCCCCCGCGCGCCGCAGGGCTCGGTGCCGCAGCCGTGACATCAGTGCGTGTCCCCCACCGCCACTGGTGACAATCCTGGGGCACCCCTGGCCCCGATGCTTATTCACACACCAGGATGCCAGGGCCAGGTCACGCTGGGCTTGGGGCAGAGGGGCCCCTGTAATACCCACCCTCCCCAAGCAGCTCTTGGCCTGGCTCCCACCTCCCCCTGAAGAGCAGAACTGGGAGGGCTGGGAGGCAGTGCCGGGGCGGGGGAGCATGGCGCCGGGCAGCTCAGGGCTGGGCCAAAATCGGGTGCTGGGTTTGCTGGGGCCCAGCTAGCGTGAGGGGAAGTGGGCCATGCTGCAGAGCAGCCACACAAACCCATGCGCTGCTGCAAACTCACTCAAATGTGCCAACCAGTACTAGCTCTGGACAAGTGTGCAGCCCCAGCCCTGCTGCTGCTCTGTGCCTGCCCTTGCCCAAAAGATGCCCGGGGCACTCACAGTGTGGTTATTGCCCCTCAGCAGGATGTGCCAACACTGGTGACCAGGTTTCCACTCACTTGGCTGCCTTCAAGTGATGTGTCTCCATCCCTCCACCTTTTCCTCCTTCCATCCCTCCATCCCTCCATCCCTCCCCCTTTTCCTCCCTTCATCCTTCCTTCCATCCCTCCTTCTGGCCCTCCATCCCTCCCCCTTTTCCTCCTTCCATCTCTCCATCCATCCTTCTATCCCTCCCTCCCTGGAGTGGTCCCCATCGGGTGCCTGTGGCTTTGCCCTGCTCCTGAGCTGGGACCAGGCCACCTCCCCAGACAAACAGGGGTTCCTGGGACACCCAGCGCAGGGACAACCCCAGCAGCTTGGGCTGTTAGAAAACTTGCCTCTAAGGACTTTAAACCCCCGTCATGGCCAGACACACTGCGGCTGCAGAGGCGCCATGGAAGAGGTTAATCCAGGTCCTCTTGCTGTGCCTTAGAGGAAATGTTTTTAACAGCCCAGCAGGAACAGTGCTGGGGTGACAACGCTGAGGTGACAGTGGCAAGGTGACACACCGGGACCCCACTTGCTCACCTTGGACCACTCGATGCTGAGGACATGGACTTCATGGCTGCTGCCCAGGGAGCTGCTGCTGACGCAGCCCCGCTGCACCGTGCTGGTGGCGTAGGACAGGGCGATGGGCGGCTCCGCCGTCACCGGCTGCAGGTCGCAGCCCTCGGCTCTCCCGGGGTCTGGGCGGAAAACAAGAGACCGTCAGTCCCCGCCGTGCGGATGTGGGGTGACATAACACGGGGAGGGGGAGGACATGATGCGGGAGGGGGCTGCATTGCCACGCCAGCTCCAGTGCTGCCCCCGCGCCCCCGGCACAGGGCCCGCGGGACCATCTGCTACGTGTTTGCTCGGGGCTCGTCTGCCGCTGTCAGCTCCCGCTGCAGTAACGTTAATGACCCTCGGATCTGGGCTGGAAAAATCCACTGTCCCTGCTCGGCACTGCTGTGTGCCAAAACTCACGCCCAGCTGCCCTGAACGCTCAGGCGCTGGCGGAAGCCTCCCCACATCCCCCGTGATGCAGGAAAGCGGGAAGCTCAGGTATGGAAATGGCCATAAAGCTCATCCGAGGCGTGAGCTTCGTCCCATCTCGAACCCCCTGCGCGGCGCGCGAGCGAGCGGGGCCAGTGGGCGGCTGCCAAGGGAAATCCTGAGCGCAAACAGCCGCTTGAAGGCCTGATCCTGTAAAACCCCGTTTGCCTTGGCCATTTCCCCCACCCTGGGCAGTGCTGCTGTGGCTGGGCTGTTCTTGAGCTGGCGCCTGTGCTGGGGGGTGTCCTGGGGACCCGCTTGCACCCATGGGTGCCCCTTTGCCAGGGGCTGGGCAGGATGAAGGCCTCTGGCCGTAGTTGGGGGCTTCCCATGGGGAGACAGTGCTTGGGGCACTGTGTTGGGTTTGGAGGCAGCCACGGAGCGCCATCCCTTTCCATCCCATCCCTGGTGGCTCCAGCCACCACACTGGGATGTGATGGGACCCCACTCAGCCCACCCCCATAGGGACAGGGCCCAAGGGTGCGATGCTCTGGGTCGTCGAGGCTTTGGGATGCGGCAGCTGGCAACGGGCCATCACGGCATCCCCAGCCCACGTCTCGCCATCGGGGTGGTGTGGCCGCTGCGGGAGGTCACGGCGCAGACCCCCCCCCAGTGACGCTGCCACGGGTCCATGTATTGTCTGGCGCTTCCTCCCCCCAGCGCGGCGGCCGCGCGGCCGGCAGCATCAGGAGGAAGATAAACAGCCGCTTATCTGGGCGCCGCAGGCTGCGTCCCTCTTCCCTTCGCTCTTGTCGCGACGGAACCGGGCACAGCCGCGCGGCCCCTGGCATTGCTGGGCAGAGGACGGGCAGCTCATCACACCTCCGGCAGCATCCCGTGGGGAGGTCAGGCAGGGCCAGGGGCCCGTGGCCGGGCTCGCCACCGGCACAGGGCAGGGATGCCAGCAGAGGGGATGCGGGGCAGCGGTGCCAGTCGGGCACCGTCAGTCCCTGGGGAAGGCAGCGGGCTCCAGCATTATGTCAGGATCAGATAAGGGGGTTCAGCTGGGCCGCCCGGGGCGATCAGATAAGGGCACTGTTATTTTTGTACTCCAGGAAAGGGAAAAAAAGTTAAAAGGAAGAAAGAAAGAAAAACCACTTTATGTTTTTCCAGCCGCCTGCCCTCTCCCTCGCTGCGATGCGGCCGAGACCAGGGAGTGGGGATCGTTCCACCATGGGTCCCCCGCAGGCTGGGGGGACAATTCCTGGGCTTTTGGGAGCAGATCAAAGGCCCTGGGCAGAGAGCAACGCCCAGGGGTGCCGGGCTGGGGGGTGCAGGGCCAGGGTGGCTCCGGCGGCGCAGGATGCCCCATGGGACGGGCAGCGCCACTCTGGCATCCCGGCATCCGGCTGTGCCGCCTCGGCACTTGTGTAATGAGCTGGCCGGTCTCAGTCCGGGTCAGGAATGGGGATGGGATCCTGCGCTGCAAACTTGAGGGGGGGTTGTCACCCTCTGAGCCATCCCTGGTTGTTGGACCCCGTGGAGGTGGCACTGGGGCTCAGATGTCGGGATGGATGAGGCCAGGCTTTGGGGCAGAGGCAGGCCATGTCATTCCTGCCCCTCTCTAAAGCAGTCGGGCGCTGAGCAGCCTCTCCCCAGGGATGGGCAGGGACAACCCACCACTGTGCTCACCCCGTGGGGAGCAGCGCAGGTCCCTGCCCCATGGAATGGGGGCACAAAGTCCCCCACCTCTGGAAGCCTGTTGTGTCCATGAGGCCCCCCAGCACTGCGCCTGCTGTGGGCACCCCCAGCCCTGCGGGTCCTTGCGGGGGAGAGGCAGCAGCTGGACAGGACGTGGTGCGTGTAGCACAACACAGGACAGGGACCGTATAGCACAGCTACTCAGGATGGGGGACATACGGCACAGCTACACAGGACGAGGACGACATGGCAGAGTCGCACAGGATGGGGCCCAGCTGCGTAGGTTTGGGATGGTATGGCACAGATGAGTGGGATGTGGTCTGTATGGCAGGGACAGGGACCGCACGGGCACAGTCACGTGCAATGGGGACTGCGTAGCTCAGTCACGTAGGACAGGGACTGTATAGAACAGCTACATAAGCTGGGGACCCTATAGCACAGTTAGGACCAGGACTGCATTACACAGCTGCACAGGACCGGGACAGTGTGTGATGGCTATGTAGGATGGGGACTGTAGAGCACAACTACGCAGGGTAGGGACCATACAGCACAGCTAAATAGCACAGGGATCATACAGCCCAGCTACTCAGGATGGGGACCATATGGCACAGCTACATAGGACTCAGCCCATAGAGCACAGCCGTGTTAGTGCAGGGACTGTGGCACAGCCATATAGGATGGAGACTGCACAGGACAAAGGCCCTGGACTGTATGGCACAGCTACGTAAGACAGAGATGACATTGCACAGCTGTGTAGGACAGGGATGGCACAGCTACATGGTATAGGGACTATACATCACAGACAGGGAGGACAGGGCTGCTATGGCACGACTCCATAGGATGCAGGACCATCTGGCACAGCTATAGGATGGGGAGTGTATCGCACAGCTGCGCAGGACGCAGCCATTATGGCACATATACATAGGATGGGGACAGTATGGCACAGCCGCAGGACGGGGACAGTATGGGCCAGCTACGGAGGACACAGAACTTACTGTACGTCCCCGTGGGATGGGACCGTCCAGCAGAGCGCCGGGGGACACGGCCCATACGGCAACAGCCTCACCGGACAGGGAGCGCCTGGCTCAGCTCCGGGCGGTGACCAGGAGGTGACAGTAGCCTGGCAGTGGGGACGCCCCGGCAGCACCCACTGCCGCTGGCGCCTGCGGTGACCGGGAGGGACCGACCCAGCAGGGACACGCAGAGCCGCCGGCCCCGGGCTGCTGCTGCCTTCCCGGTTCCCTTTTGCTCTGTCAGCGGGTGCGTCCCCGGGTCCCCCAGCTCCCCACCCTCACCCAGCATGGGTGTCCCTGGGCATGTCCCCACCTTGAAATTCTCCCTGTGGCTTCTCAGGGACCTCGGGGTGGCCTCAGTGCTTCCCTGCCCGACTGCTCCAGAGGCAGACGAGTGCCCAGCTCCGTCCCCACGGCCCACCCAGGGCTTGACGGGGTTTTTCCCATTCCTCGCCCCCCCCAGCTCCCGGTCGACCCCACACACACACCCCGCGGTGCTGGGACGCCACCAAAACCACCCCAGACCCCCCATGTGCCGTCCCCTCGGCCGGGGGACAGCAATGGCTCCTTCGACACCTCCCGAGCACGGTGACGCAGCCTGGATTTCGGGGATCCCAGAGGGCAGCAGGGCTGGGCCGTGTGTCCCCCCTTGGCGCTGGGGGCGGTTTGTCCCTCCCCACCCCCGGGGCTGTCCCCCCAAACCTTCTCCCCCCGGGGGTGACACCGCCCGCAGCGGCACAGCCGTGACCCCTCTGGCC